TTATAATCATTAAACATCAAAATTAGCTATTTGATCAAATTTGTATGAACATGTAATCATGAAATAAAATACAAAAACTATGTCAGAACAGGTAATGTGGTTGCAAGTAAGAGGGTTGAATATTAAGTCTAAATTGAGCTGAGTTCAGTTGGTTTGAGGCCAATGTGTTGAGTAAAATATATATTGAACAAAAAAAAAATTATTTGAAAATTTTTCTTATAATGACTTGGTAACAGGGTTGAATTGTCACAATGGAATGAAATTATTTACTTGTCCTATCATGCTGTATAAAAGGACCAAATTATTAATTGAATTATGATTAAAATTACTATTAAATCAAATAAATTTAGCATGTTATAATGTTGAAGAATGTCGCTTTTTTGCAGTGGGGAAGATCATTCGGTAACAGGGTTGAACTCAATATTTGGATACAGCCTATTAGTTATATAGTTATTATTAATTAAGATTAATTTTCAAAATTACTTATTACAATTAGTTATCTGTATACACTGTATAGCTTTTTTTTGTTTTTACAAAACCCAGTTTTTTCATGTATTATATTCTATTTCATTTCACACTTTTTTTTTAAAGATTATACATTTATTGTATTCTATTTTTATTATCATTATAATTATGTGTGTATATAAACAACTCCTCGTTTGTTTCGGTCATCACTTGATTGATATTGATTTTACCATAAAATTGAACTATGAGAAATGGTTAAGATACATCACCAATTTGATGAGCCATCTTTCATACCCAAGTGATTTATGTTAGATTCTAGTTTATCAAACATGTTTAACAAACATTTCTCACATTTTTTGCAGTTTGTTAATAAAGTGGCCAGCATGCATATTTTTGATACATGTAGTCCATGATGCTGCAAAACTCAACAGCAAAATGTGTAGAGATGACAAGACATGGTTTCACAGTTGCATAAGATTCACATTTATTTGGTTTCAAGTCCTAAAACATTCTAAACATGCTTTTATAACACACATGGGTCACATTCTTCACAGGTAGTAAAAGTCAGAGGAGCAGAAAAAAGAGTTTGTGACACGGGTTAGGAAAAGCACCTCAGACAACACTCCCAAAAACCATCCCGCCAGATGCCTAATACAAAAACAAACACAAACAGACAGGAGTTAATTTAGCATGTACTAGTGTTGTTTTGGGGTTTTCAGAAGTGTGTCTATTCCCTGAGATATCACCCATGTTTCAAAACCTCTCATCTGGCTCTGTATGGTTTGCTCGAGCCCCAACATTCACCAATGTTTCTTCTAATAAGATTGCCACTGGATCAAGAAGAATCCCAAAGAGAACTGGTAAAAGACTGAAATAAGTTCCCTGGCTATGTAAAACTGACAGCACTTTGATAGTCTTTCAATAACCAATCAGCATACCCGTAACAATCAAGAAAGAATTCTGATTGGCTGAAAAGTGTCAAAGCATTAACATGATTACAATGGACTGACAAAAAACTTGTAAACAGTTGAGAAATAATAATAAAGTCATATAGACAAAAAAATACATTCTTCATGAAAACAATTCACAAACAGTGTTTACAACTAGGAATATAATACTGTTCATTTCACATGTTATAATTGCACTGAGAAATGGTCTTCATTGAAGAGTGAGGTAAATATGCAGCATCTGATGTCTATCAGGCATTACTTTAGGAATTATTTTAAAGGGGTCCTATTATGCTCTTTTACAAAGTCTTGATTTGGTTTTGGGGGTGTATTAGAACAGGCTCTCATACTAGGTTGTTGGAAAAACACATTTTACACATATTTTACATTATTACAACACCTCTCTCCCCAGTCTGGCATGAACTGCTCGAATAGTTCCTGTATCAAATGAAGGCCCACCTTCTGAAATACAAAATGTGCTGTGATTGGTTAGCCGGGCCAGTGTGTGCTGTGATTGGCAGCACTCGGGCACCTGGTCGGGAGATGTCACGCCCCTTACCATAGCCCCCTGCGAGCTTCAGTGTAAATATTGCGTCAAAATCAAATCAATTTGAGCGCGATTTAAACCCGGATGATTGTAACCACTCTAAGTTCGTCTGCCTTGGGAAAGCTAGCGTGTCTCCGACATAGTGATAACACTCGTTGCCTTCTCTAGTGCAGCTCAACCAGGTCTCGTCCCATTCGTCGATATTTGTGATATCACAAATCCCGGAAAATATGCGTTGTAGTCCAAACGAGGCGTTCCTTGTAGTTTTTGAAAAGGGATTTCTGTTAAATAAAATATCTCCTTTTGGAGTGGACTTTGAGCTTTGTAACTTTGCAGACCTTTTTTATGCTCATACAGCAACATTACAGACTAACTAAAGTTGAAAAAGTGAAAAAGCATAATAGGACCCCTTTAAGACAATGACGGAATATGATTGATGAAAACTATTATCTCAATTTCTGAAGTTTCCAGAACGGCATATGAGACGGTCAAAGAAACAGCGGTGCTTTGAAACCAATAAATAACGATGAATACTTTTCCTTAATGAAAGCACGCTACATGATGACACACAAAAGAGGTAGTTTCAAAGAAAAATGTATAAAAAGAAACAAACACATCGGACACATCGTCAAATATGAAGGAACGACAGAAAACAAAGACCTAGATGGAGAGTGTGGCACTTTTAAAGGTCTGCTATGAGATTCAAAAGCTTCCTTCAAAAGCCAGATTAACAAAACGGTAAAAAAGAGGGATATTCCTGAGAGACCAAGCCGGTAACAACAATGCAGGTCTGAGAAACTCAATTCAGGAAGGCTGGCGTTTAAAGCAGTTTTGTTCACGATAAATCTCCACCTTCGATTCTATTCTGACGACACATCGGACACATCGTCAAATATGAAGGAACGACAGAAAACAAAGACCTAGATGGAGAGTGTGGCACTTTTAAAGGTCTGCTATGAGATTCAAAAGCTTCCTTCAAAAGCCAGATTAACAAAACGGTAAAAAAAGAGGGATATTCCTGAGAGACCAAGCCGGTAACAACAATGCAGGTCTGAGAAACTCAATTCAGGAAGGCTGGCGTTTAAAGCAGTTTTGTTCACGATAAATCTCCACCTTCGATTCTATTCTGACATGGGCGATGGCTTACAAATGTGTACTTTCATAGACTAAGTCGGTGTGTTTGGAGCTTTTACCTGTAACAAACACTCCCACCGTATCAAGAGTTTTAGTCTGACATTTAGCTAGCTCACACTCCAAAACAAGCCCTCGTCAAGAAAACAGTCATGATATCTACCACAGTGAACGATGTACAAAATGAAACGACAACAAATGAAGGGACAAACGAATGCGGTGTGGGATGGATGAAACGTTTAAGATTAAGGACACATCATACAGACAGATGTGTAGCGTCCACCAAAACAACACAACACCAAATGTTGCCACCGAGGTTTAGCTGCACTTGAGATGGGGCATTACCAGGCTGAACGTGCGTCTTTGGTATGGGCCCCTTTGTCATTGTCTGGTGCAAATATGTAAACATCACGACGCATATCGAACATGTTTGGAATGTCTGAAATGATGAGAGTTACAGCGAGCACATCCACTGACGCCTTGGTAAAATACCAACCAAGGAAAAGAATCGTAACGAAAACCTCCAAGGCATCGGATGGCTTGTCATAACCGGACTAGCTAGCTAGTCATGTTTTTTTCCTCTAATCGGGTTTACAGTAATACTCAAAACCAAAACAAAATACTCTTCAAAACAACACTTCCCCCTCCCCAGTTTCATAAAAAGAAAAAAAAAACATCTAAAAGGACCTACAATGTCCAGAATACTACAAACTACTAAACCTACAAGTACATCAGCACTGCGATATTTGAGAGAAATGCGAGTGAATTATAAAAACAGTAACTTTACCCTGTTTAAAATGTGAGGGAAGGAACCAGCAGCAGAGGAAACTAAACCATTAGGAAATTCGTTTTTTCGTCACATCTGTACTCAAATAAATGCCCTTTATTAAAGTTTGAGAGCATTTGGCGGATACATTTCAGAACTTTGCAATCAAATCTGATGCTAATGCTAATGATTCACGGTGACTGAATCTCTCCAATGCTCAATTTCAGCTGATAAATACTTCCAAAGGCCAAACTCTACATCCTTCAACGAGTACTCCAAATTAAGGAACCAAGTGTTTTCTGAAATAAGACAGCCAATACACCACATTTCACTGCCAGACTGAGTGCAAACCATGTGGAGTGTGCAGTTTGATGACAGAAACGGCTGTTCTCCTCAGAAGTCTCTCGTGTTTTCAACAAGGGTGAGCAGAGCAGGGATTACTTCCCTCCAAATTTGCATAACACTTTGGTCAAAAAAAAGAAGGAAAAAAAAAGAGAAAGAAATCAACAAAAACAATATTAACAGACACATTCTGTTGTCGTTTCGTCCCCAGCCTATGATTGTGAAACATACCCGTACACCTCTCTTCTGTGTAAACAATCACGCTCTCCATCCCGGCCTTGTATGGTAAGATAAAACCCATGTGTTAAGAGGTTACGTGACTACCGAGCGTATGTTTGAGAACTGCAGCGCACCGCAAATGCGTAAGAAATGACAAGACGGTCTCAAACTCAAGGCACAGTGTCGACGTTAACGGCCCGGTGCGTCACAAAACAGAGAGGGAGCACGTGAAATGCTTTCTTCCTGAGGTAGTCTTTCAATAAAACAATTCCTTTCATACATATCTGTCCCCATCAGCAGAAAGTGAACAGAAGTATAAAATAAAACCAAGCAGTAGATCTAATCCGATCAGTGGTTACACGTCACATATCGCAGGTGGACTGAAGCGTGTGAAATCCACTGCGCTTTTTGTGCATTTTCATTTGAAAAGGAGCATGTGCACAGTGTGGATCAACATACATTCAGCTCTGTCTGGTAATAAATAGAGAGAAAAAACAACACTAATCTAAACAAAATGCATAAAATAGTTTCTTGTCACATTCATGAGAGGAGAAGGAGGAGGAGGAGGGTACCGGGAGTCCCACCCCCAAATAACACCCTGCCCCCGTGCAATAGATGGGGAGGGTGTTTTCAAGGGAGGTGGGGCTAGTTGGCAGGGGCGGTACCCTTTGTCACACAGGGGGAGGAGCCTGTCCTGTAGTTGTTCAGACTTGATTTACAGGAGTGCAATACTGCCTTAAACAGCAGAGGGAGCTGCTCCAAAGGGATGTTGACCAACTTCCCTGAATAGCGAGGGGAGAATTGTGAGATCTGACCGTTAAACGGATGCAATTCTTATTCAAATACATGAAATGTCTTGTTTTTGGACTTACCTGCAATGCAGCGGATTTCTGGCAGACACATCATGATCTCGGGAAAGCGTTTGGGCTGGTGAGGGTACTTGTACTCAGTGTAATCCTGACAAACGTACCAATAACGTTTGTTCAACTGCTCCAGCTGGGTCACATTGGTCAGACCGCGGATATCTAGACACATACAAAGAAATATCATGATGCTGGACACTTATGAAGAAATATATGAAAATGAAATGTGCTTTTCTGTTTCGTGTCATTATGGCTCTATTATTGTTGATTCTGAAGATCTCTATAATCTGTTTATGTGCTCAGTGAGCAGTGATTATCATAAGATAAGTCAGAAGAGCATCAGCATACAGTATACTGTATAATGTAATATTGTATTAAAATGGAAATACTTGCTGTTTTACCTTGGTTGAGGAAGTTGATGGCCTTCATGCAGGCATATTCCTCATTGCTGACCTTCAGCTGATGGAACTTACGGAACAGATAGATCAGCTTCTCCATCACCTCCATCCCATCCTCACTGAAACTACACACACAAACAATTCATCAATCAACTATAGATCTAACAACTGACCTCACAGCTACGTCAACAGGGTCCAATTCATGTTGACAGCACTGATGTGATCAGAACAATATGTGGATCATATTTGAACCAACATCTCCCACATAAGCAGCAAAGTTCAATCACTTCATAAAATCTAAATAAATCAGATTGTTTTTCCCATGTGACATGTGACATAGATCTGTTTTTATGACTGAGTGAACAGAACAAAAAACAGACTGAATCTGAAATGTTCCATTCTAATCAGAATAGCACTTTCATATTGAAATAAATCAGACATGTATCTTATATTTTAGCAATGTGAGGTCAGTGTAAATAGTAATTTAATAGATTTTTATAGTAACATAACTCAACAGCTGTCATAACTGCGTGTTTGAATGATCACATTTTAGAAAATGATATTAATTTTATTATATAAATTACATTTTATATGATATATTTATGAATAATCAAGAGCATTACTATATAACAATATATACATACAATTATACATATATAGAAATGTCTGAAATGTTCTGACACCTGCTTTGAAAAAATATGAATGTTATGAAGTTATAGTAGTATTTTCATAAAATGAAATGTGAAACCATGAGAGTGTTTAATAAACCCGTGACTAATGTTGGTCTATCATCTGATTCCACACAAGCATATGCTATGTGATCATAGCCATTATTATGTTACTAATGATTTAAGAATATGTTTGAATAGGATACCACATAAATCATGTAATAATAGAAATAAAATAAGAATTAATGTGATAAAGCACAGCATGAGACGTATCTTGGTGCTAAATTACTTCATAAAGCCATCACAAAAGAGTGAACCCATGACACGACGTACCAGCACCATTCAGTTCAAGTGCTTTTCTCTGCCTTCGTGACTCTATTCTACTTTTCTGAATCTGATCCTGATCGTTTATCTGCTGCTCTCCTTTAATTACTCCAGACTCTTTGAACTCTCTCCCTAAAGGCAGGTCATGATCTTCAGCGTGTACCTGCACAGTAAATGGGAATGTTTCACTACCTCAGACCTGCATTTCCACCCAGCATGCAACAGTAAATCTATCCAGGAGATCAAGAAGAGACGTTCAGAGGTCAGGTGATTGCAGACTAATTTACACACACCACATTCACTCCCCTCCTCCATGTCAGCACTAGTATTTCACTCGTAAGGCTACGGGTATATTATATTATCATGTATTATTTATAGTATTATTATCATGGCTCTAGAAATGTGCACAAGGGCCTGGAATTAGACCAAAATGCAAATATAAAGATATCAATAATGTTACAAAAGATTTCTATAAAAAAAAAATGTAGCACAGTTTCCACAAAATGATTAAGCTGCACAAATGTTTTCAACATTGATAATAATAAGAAATGTTTCTTTGAGCAGCAAATCAGTATATAAGAATGATTTCTGAAGGATCACGTGACACTGAAGACTGGAGAAATGATGCTGAAAACTTAGCTTTGATCACAGGAATAAATTACATTTTTAAATATATTCAAATAGAAAAAAGGTATATCTATAAATAATACAAAAATTAAATAAATAAATAAAAAATAAACAAATACTTATTTTACACAAAATTTGCAATTAAAATATACATTATATAAAACATAATTTATCCTTTCACTCAGATTAATCAGTTATACTAATTAAGACAATCTGTAAAAAAAAAAAAAAAATGCCACAGTGCATCTCAAGTTTATTACAAACATGAAAGACAAACATTTTGGAGGAGAATACAGGGAGAGGACAGACAGACATAACACGTCTGTTTCACTGCCTCTCTCCCACATACACACACAGTGGTCTCCACCTCCATACAGAGATGCCTGAGAGTACCTGAAGCATGGAGAACAGTCTAACTATCGTGATTTAGCACTAGTAGGGATCACAACAAGCCCTACATGCACAGAAGAGCAGCAAAGAGATATTTCTCAGGCCCAGATACTTATTAGCAGTATCTGATGAATCAATGTATTGAATCGTTTTTATTAATGATCCAAACCGATCAGCAACATGCTTGGAAATCATAGAACAGGGAATAAAAGGTGTGTGACATAAGCTCTATATTCCTCACCTCTGCAGCTCGTCGTCTGACGGGGTGTATTTGTCGGTGACGTTGGCGAGATCGCCCAGCACCTGGGCGCTGTAGACTGTCAGACAGGCCAGCAGGATGAGCTCCTGCCAGGTGGCGCTCAGGAGCCGCGTGTAGTCCTCGATGGACAGCTCGCAGAAGAAAGGAAGCTTCTTGATCCAGGAAATCTGTCTGAAGAGAAGTTCATCCGCCAGCCGACACAATAGCGCAAACAGCTCCACCTGAGTGACCCGATACCTGCAAAAAAGAGCATTATGTGAGCATTAGTACATTTTAAGAATGTTAAACACTGTTTTAAAATGAATGATGGCCTGCATGGCTGTTGAATGAATGAGGTGTTGTTTACCCGTCCTCAATGAGCATGGGTGTGCCCAGTGGGGCCAGTTCCTCTGCTGCCACCAGCTGGCTGATGAGAGTATGACTCTGGGGGTACAGACTCCGCGGCTGGGAAGCGTATCCAAACAAGTGAGGCAGGAACTGGTAGTGCTGGGCCATTGCGTTGCCAATGTACTGTTCCCTCAAAGCAGCAGTGTAGCCATTCAGCTCCACTGAGCGACTGTGTGGGAAAGAAATGGAAAGGAAGAGGAGGAACAAAAGAAATATAGTTTACAATACTTTTTTTATTTAATGCATTTGAGGCAAATACAAAGGAATCCAGTCTTTTGATTCGTGTTCATTGTAGCTAAAGCCTGTAATCTAAATTTGTAATCTAACATGTAATCTAAAAGTAATATAAAAATCTAAATGTAATCTAATCTGTAAATTTGTCCTTTTGCGTTTTGTGAATTATTCCCACAAACTGCTGCTTTTGCAGCGGAGAAGGGAATACTCACTTGGATGAAAGTGTGGATACAGGAGATGGCTGATTCCCATCAGAGACGCCGTTGCCAGGGGAACTGTGGTCACTGTCGCCGTTGTTTCCCCAAGTGTGTTCCGGCATGTTGGCATCATCCTTAAACTCCTGTCCTGACATAATCCGTTCAATCTCCTCATCGGAAATCTGCGCAGAGAGATTTTTGATCAAAACTGTGCAAAATCTAGTACTGAATGAGACATTCGTTAGGACTAAAGGTGCAATCACATTTACAATTTTTCAGTTTTGCAGATGAGATAATTTAAATATGAATCCATATTATTTCGTGGGAGGGGCAAAGATTTCGCAACAGTTTTAGGGTGGTCACATGGATTTGCAAATTTTTGATCAAAATTCTAAAACTGTGCAAAATATTTAGTAAGACGCGTGGTCACATTTACCAGAATAGGATTCTACATGACGGGAAATTTTGGGAAAGATTTCTCTACATAGATTTATTTAGCCAATTTGCCATGTTGACCAACAGAAAGCTGCTTGGTATGAAAGTGACTTCTGTGTGAGCTGTGCTTATACATCACTACACTATTTAAAATAGACAATGGACCTTTTTGCCAACAAAAGTTTCGCAAAAATTCTCTAATGCAACCACACCTTAAAGAGATAGTTCATCCAAAAATATAAATTGTGTCATAATTTACATCCTCAAGTTGTCCCAAACCTGTATGAGTTTCTTTTTTTCTGTTGAACACAAAAACAGATATTTTGAAGAATGTTGGTCACCAAACAGTTGACGGTATCCATTGACCTCCATAGTATGGAAACATATTATGGAAGTCAATGGCTACCGTCAACTGCTTCAAAGTATCTTCTAACAGAAGAAATAAACTCATACAGGTTTGGAACAAGTGGAGAAAGACGTACAAAACACGATTCCATGAGCCTTATTTTCGCTTTTCATACAAATATGACAGAAAGAGACAAACCAGCATTTAAGTCAAGGCCGTGCACAATAATAAAAAAAAATCCCTTTTTAATACAGTTGATGGGTTCAAGCCATCTTTAATTCTGTGTAAGGTGAAGCAACCATTGTGTGTTCCAGAGGCAATTAGGCCGAGTCAATAAGATGGCGGTCTCTAGTTCTGGGATCAGGTGCAAACAAGAGCACTATATGGACTAACAAAGCCCACTTTGTCCTATCAAATACAACACAACAAATACAGCTCACCAGGGTAAACACTTCAATACACTAATACTGTTCACCGAATGTACTTAATGGAGCCTCAAGTCTAATATTCAGCAAGATGTCGGAGAAATACGAGGCAAAGATACATTTCGCATCTACAATAACAAACATTAATATCAAAAGCCAAGTTTTGGATTATTAGGCATGTCTAGGGTCACAAAAATAACTTATTCCCTCACATGAGAATTTAATACATTCACCTAACGCTGCTATTCACACAAATGCACAAAAGCAGCAAAACACAATGATTTTATGAGGTCAGCTGACAATGAATGCGAAGAATGACAAGGCAATCTATTCACCGGTGCTCTAGCCTTGAGAACAGTGACTCTTCTAATGAAATTAACATCTTTAAATTACGCTGAGGTCACAAGGCCATTTATCGGCACGTTGGGCTATTTAACCCAAAACTCGATTCCGCTCGTCTTCATATGCGCCGAAACTAATCAGCTCTATTTCCTCCATTCACGACTGGAGAGGGCATGAACGCAATCAACGTGGCTGCTTTAATACACGGTGGACACTAGAGACATAAAAGAGCGATGAGAAACTCGAGATGAATGGCAGGGCGGGGATGGAGTAATTCATTTGTGACTTTTAAAAAGTCCTAATGAAGAGAAATATAAGTATAGAACAGGGCACGGCATCTCATCAGATAGGAGAAGTCGATTTAGTTTGGAAAGAAAAGTGTTGGTGTGATGAAAGCGAATGAGGGGTTATGGGCACCTGTACAGGACCGATGCTTTTGTTCCTGCCTCCCGGCATGCCATCTTCTCTGATTGCTGAAAAACACAAAACCAAATAATGAGCTGAATGTCCATTTAAAAAGAATTTTACCTTCGAGATGAGACATTCTGCGTGCCTCTGAAATGCTTCGCCTCTTTTCAGCATTCAAATTGAAATGACTAAATTGCTTTGTATATGCCTCATGATTTAGATGTTAACCGCTGAAGGAACAAAAGAACAATTGCGGCATGCTTTCAACAACACCCAACTTTGGGGGAAGAAAACCAGACATTATAAAAGTGTGTCTAGAATCTAAGCTCAATACAGCTGAAGGTGGATTAGAAATGTCGCTCGGATACTGTAAATACTTTGACACCGTTCTTTGGCCAGAACATGAACTCTTTGCTATGTATTGATGAGTAACCTATTATATGAGTTTTCTAGCATTTTGAGTCTAACATGCAGATAATGTAGTAAAGCAATAAGCCACTGAAGGCTGTGCATAAGAGTTGTTGTTGAGTGCATAAACCCCCTTTACTGTGGTAAAATCCCTGTGAAGCATATTTTCAGATGGCTTTTGCTTTTATAAACTGGCAACAATAGATGTAAAAGATGTCATATTTAATTAATAATAATTGCAGTTTATTAATAAATATAATTTAGTTAATTTTCAAATGTGGCTGTTATAATTGGGTTTAAAACAAACCACACTTAACTTTTTGAAAAGAAGTGTGCTTAATTGTATTGAATGTGTACTTGTAGTGTGCATCAAATCTTCAAAGCATATATTTTTTTAAAAACTGTATTTGCAACAATATAATGTTGATTAAATAAAAGGCCACTTAAGTGTACTTAAAGAGAGACTTGTATGACCATGTTTCTTAACACGCGTTGAAAAAGTGCACTTGGTAATCATGTCAAATTAAACATCCTACTTTAAAGTACATTTTAAATTATTTAGTTATAATACGTGTCATGCATTAAAGGTGTACACTTATTTTTATGTGTTGACTAGCACTTACATTTAAAGTTAATATATTTGAATGTACTAAAATGCAACTTCATCATTACATATAAGTATTTACAAATATATTTAAATACATGACATACAAGTTTCAATAAGAATAGTTTACCATAAATGAGGTATATCCGGCAGTACTTTAACCATATTTCAAAGACATTTATTAACTATTAATTAGTTAATTAACTAAGTTAATATGAAATTACGATAAAGATATACTTAAGCCCTATTAAAAAAAAAAAAAAAAAAGAGTTTAGCTAGTTGCATTTAATATTGATTTAAAACATAGCACATTTTCATTTAATTGCAATTAACATGCACTTCACATATGTGACCTTGGAGCATAAAAGCAGTGTTAAGTCGCTGGGGTATATTTGTAGCAATAGCCAAAAATACATTGTATTGGTTAAAATGATCGATTTTTCTTTTATGCCAAAAATCCTTAGGATATAAAGTAAAGATTATGTTCCATGAAGATATTGTAAATTTCCTTCCGTAAATATATCAAAACTTAATTTTTGATTAGTAATATGCATTGCTAAGAATTCATTTGGACAACTTTAAAGGCGATTTTCTCAATATTTGATTTTTTTTGCACACTCAATATTGTCAATATTCAATATTTCAATATTGTCCTATCCTAACAAACCATACTTATTTATTCAGCTTTCATATGATGTATAAATCTCAATTTCGAAAAATGTACCCGTATGACTGGTTTTGTGGTCCAGGGTCACATATTAAGGTCACATATTATATAGTATATTACTTCTGTAATAGGTACTGTTTAAATGTATGCTGATGTGTACTTTTTCACAAGGGTTTCTCGTCTCTTTTGGAAGACTTCTCAGTTTTGCATTTACTCTGTCTTGAGAGGAGTATTCTATACGGTTCTCAGGGGTGCTGAAGCTTATGCTCTATGAATAGGAAATGTAATGCATCTACAACCAGAATCATCTCCTGAACGCTTCTCAATCTTAACCCAAACATGATATGACAGTAAAAGATGAAATGACTGTTTCATGACTGTGACTGTTGTCAGAGAAGTATCTAAATTACAGGCACATTGTGAGCTCAGCCCTTGTGTATTATTGGTATTGTCACTAGAGGGCAGTGGGGATTGTTTTAATGTCTTTTCCACCTATTTGTTTTTGTTACCAAACTACCTTTAACATATTATGGTAAAACAGCTTTATGGTTTACAGCTAAACTATAATGACTAATTATACCCTGTTGAAAAGACCAAATTAGACAAGCTCGAATTTCCATGCAGGTTCAGACTGGTCAGAGCTGGTTTGGCTAGTAAATGCTGATCAGCCAGTCATGCTAAACTGAGAACACAGATATGACTGTATCGGCTCCATTGACATCTCTCACCTTTGCGGTTCATTCCCATCTGCAGGCACTTGAGCAGCCTGCAGTACTGGCAGCGGTTGCGCTGTTTGCGTGACATCTCGCAGTTCTTGTCGCGGCTGCAGCGGTAGACGCGCTTGTTGCAGATGCTGCGCTTGAAGAAGCCCTTGCAGCCCTCGCAGGAAATAATGCCATAGTGCAGTCCTGTGGCACGGTCTCCGCAAATAAGACAAGAGCGCTGCTCAGCCTGGTCATCTGAGAGAAACACACAAACATACAGAGATCAGGACCAAAGTATGTAGAGATACACATGTGCATGCAGATGTATTCTGTATATTTTAGATCAGGGGTGTCCAAACTCGGTCCTGGAGGGCCAGTGTCCTGAAGAGTTTAGCTCCAACCCCAATCAAACACACCTGAAGCAGCTAATCAAGCTCTTGCTAGGCATACTAGAAACTTAAAGGCAGGTGTGTTGAGGCAAGTTGGAGTTAAACTCTGCAGGACACCGGCCCTCCAGGACCGAGTTTGGGCAGCCCTGTTTTAGATCAATTATTTGGCCTCTATTTACATGGCTATCTACTGTACATTCATTCATACACTAAAAATCTCACTGACCCCAAACTTTTGAATGGTAATGTTTTTGAAAGAAGTCTCGTCTGCTCACCAAGGCTGCATTTATTTGATTAAAATGACAGCAAAAAATGTAATATTGTGAAATATTATTACATTTTAAAATGACCGTTTTATATTTAAATATATTTTAACATTTTATTTATTCCTGTGATGCAAAGCTGAATTTTCAGCATCGTTAGTCCAGTCTTCAGTGTCACATGATTGTTCAGAAATCATTCTAATATGCTGATTTGCTTCTCAAGAAACATTTATTATTACTATCAATGTTGAAAACAGTTGTGCTGCTATATTTTTTTGTGAAAACAGTGATGCATTTTTTTTCAGGATTAATGTGTATAAAGTAAAAAAAAACAGCATTTATTTAAAATATAATATTTTAACATTATAAATGTCTTTACTAGTCACATTTGATCAATTTAATCCATCCTTTCTGAATAAAATTATTAATTTCTATCACAGAAAAGAGATCAAATTACTTTTGGACATAAAAGCATCATAAAACATAATAAAGTGAATCAGAACTTTGATTAAGAAACACCATGGAGTCAAAATTTACACTTATTTTTAAAATAAATATAATCTTTTTAATTATCTACAACTTGCATTTCTGAGATTACCAAAGCTGTGTTGGTGTATAAAAATAATATTAACGTATAATTTCTTCGCCTACTTTTCACATTTCAGTCAAAATCTGATGCATTATTTCACACTGAATATCCAATTTTATCCAGAAGTGCATCAGATAATTAAAGTTAAATGCATTTTGAAAGTCATGTAAGATTACATTCAAGAAACGTCCAACAAAATCGTTTCATTTGAAGAAAGAAATAAAGGAGGCACCTTTAAAATAATTTAGATTGAAGGATCCTATTCCCATAACACCAAGACACACAAACACTGTAACACACACACACACACACACACACACACACACCCTCCCCCGGCTCCAAAACAGGATCCTTGACCAGATGGGTGGGTGCCATGGTAACGGTGAATGGCATGGCCACGAGAGGAATGTGCTTGCTCACCGCGGCTGTGGCGTCACGGCTGACTTAGCGAAGAAAGGGTTCAAACCAAGAGCAGCGGAAACACTAACCCTCAATTCCTCCTCCCCTACTTCCCTCTGTCCCGCTCGCCCGCTGTCAGAACTATGAGATCAGCTAACACTGAAGCCAGGCCCCCGTCTGCCATCTAATAAAGCTGTACAATCAACACCGCTGCTCCTTCACAAGACTAAATAAACCCCACAGAGGAGAGAAAGAGGCTGAGAATGAACTCACAGCCTTTAAGATGCAGATCCCTGAACAAATCATTCTGTTGAAGCGATTCTTTTTAAAGATTCGATCAAACCGATTGTTTGGGAGTCAAACTGAGAGGCAGAAAATAAAATCACTCAAATCAAATAATAATAATAAAAAAAGATTCACAAAAATGAATGAGACTCTATCAAGAATGCTTTAGTTTGTAAAAAGGGGAGGAATCAAAAGTTTATCAAGTCAAAGGCCTTTTAGTATAATTGTAAAAGCATCCACCTTCGGGTTGTGCGTCATTTTTGCTTTTAAGTCTTTACTGATTTTTCTAAAGTAATGTTTATTTACTTTATAACAGTAAACTTAAGAATAACTTAAGAACAACAACTAAATTGTTAGTAATATTTCCAGATTAAAATTTACTGGACTGAAGCAACTTATGTTTACATAATTTTTAAAAAACATAATGTGAAAATGTGACAAGCTAACAGAATTTCATCTGTTTTTAAATCTGTAGCTCCGGCACCGGAGCTGTGGACCATTAACGGAGAGTTCAAGTCATAAAAACAGGGTCATAGCCCAGCACCTTTTCTTTCTCCATATGAGAAGGAGTTTCACAGGCCTGTCATTACAGCAGAGTCAAGAACAGGCCATTCATACCATCTGACATGCCTTTTACTCCTCTATAGGACTATATGATTACAGTGCAAATGCTGTCTTTTCTTTGGCTGCCTTTCTGTGGGCTTTCAAAGCGGAGATGCTTCAGTGTTTTCTGAGGAGCACGGCGAACTGAGAATGGGTCAGCAGTGCAGGGATACAGTCGAGGGTTATACGAGTGTTAAGTGTGGCCTTCAGTCTTACTTTACACACAATGTTTAGTCTCTCAGGGGGGTTAACGGTTCATATTTTGACTTGAAGCATGAGAATTTGCTTACAAAAAAATTCAAATGCTTTACAAATGAACTGATAGATGACTAATGAATTTCAGACAGATGACTGCTGGGAAAAATAATCTGTAAATGTGTTCCTTGCATTTTGTTTCATCAGGAAAGGTGGTATTTGAAAAAAGGGTCATAAGAAAAGCAATTTTTCAACATTTTAATGCTATTTTCTATTTCAAAGAAATGTTTTTCTTTTGAACTTTCTGAGAATCCTGAAAAATAAAATGTTTCCACAAAATATTAAGCAGCATAACTGTTTTCAACATTGATAACAATCAGAACTGTTTCTTGAGAAACAAATCAGTATATTAGAATGATTTCTGAAGGATCATGTGACACTGAAGACTGGAGAAATGATGCTGAAAATTCAGCTTTGATCACAGGAATACATTACAGTTTACAATTTATTCAAACAGAATAAAGTTATTTTAAATTGTAATAATATTTCGCAATATTACAGTTTTTAAACAAATAAATGCAGCCTTGGGGAACATAGGAGACTTTCAAAACCACAAACAATTGAATTGTGCGCATTTGTGATATAGAATTGAGCAACATTTTGAGATTTTAATAGTTTAAAATGTTTAAAATGGTCCAAGAATTGGTAAATGCAATTCTGTCAAGACACATGCCGAATATCATCAAAAGGCTGAATAATATTGCTCCACTATATTTTTAGCCCTACTTGATGGGTCTCTTGTGTCTCCCATTGAGAGATACTGGGTGGGAATATGCGAACAGACTCTCGCCGATCTGTTAAATGGAGAATAGGAGACTTCTAAAAGCTTTGCATTATTACCATCTGAATGACATTGGCATTGAGATACCTGCGGTGAACTTTAACATACTGAGAGCTTTACTGTACTGGACCACAGGAGTCACACATAAAAGAGCTTACTGTCAGATAAGGCTACACAATATCACTATTTTACTGTTTATCAGTGCTAAAACTGATGCATCTGCTAGCATATCATAGACTGCTTGTCTATGCAGGTCAACCCTATAACTTTAATAAATGTGACATGCAAGACGCCATTTTTAAATAAATCCGTATTGAGCACAAAAGTCAAATGCATTTGCATTCTCAATACACTTTGGCTGCGACTTCATACCTTGGTGGCACATTTGTCAAATGGAGAGGACGCCCATATGCGGTACTGTAACACTGACCCTTCCTTGTTACATCGAACCATTTGCCTGGAATTCCTGGCAGATGTTACGTTATGCAGGAGGCATTTGAAACCATAAATTATTGACCAGTGTATGTGAAATGACTGACTTCCTTTAATGAGAACACACCGCTTCCAAAGTTGGCTTCCTTTATTCACACCCTGGCCTTCTTTGATTGGTTAAATTTGTCGCCCTCTCTTTCAAGTGCATGGCCACCCTATAAACCTGGAGTTCTCTCACACCTTCACACACTTGATCCCACAGCGTCACTTCGCACCCCTCTGCCCCGTCACTCACATGCACTCCAGAAAAGATGCCGGGACCAACTGCCACGCTTGTTTGTGGAAAATGAAATATGAATGACTGTCAACTTCTGGAATTCTTTCAAAATCATTATAAATTTGTACTTACAAAAAATTGAATGTAGCTTAGGCTGCCTAACATGCCCATACCACAGCTCAGCTTAAAATGATTCAATAAAATAATAAATAAATAAATCATTTTTAAAAAACTGTAATTTTGGCATGTTTTCCAGTAAAATATCTGAACATTCTAAAACAATTTATATTCAGCAAACATGCATTAAATTGATCAAAAATGTGAGTAAGGACATTCACACACTGTAAAAAAAATCTTTAAAAATAGGGCACAATGTACTATATTAATATGAAGGAATTTTCTGTATTTATTTTTACAGGTGTTTTGCCTGTATTTTGAATTTAGCACTTCACTGTCTTGTTTTTCGGGGTTAACAGAAATGTCTGTAAAATGACTTGATAATGCCCTGGCAGAAAATTACCATTACATTTTCGTTTTGTTTTTTAAATAGTCCAATGTCACAAAGATTACTATTTCAAATAAACATTGTTTGTTTGAGCTTTCTATTCATCAAAATCCTAGAAAAAAAGATAATTTTTCGACAAAAATGTTAAGCAGCACACCAGTTTTCAACAATAATGATAATCAGAAATGTTACTTGAGCAGCAAACGAGCATTTTAGACTATATTTCAAAAATAAAAACAACAAACAATAATGGTCTTTAAAATGATCTTTAAAAATGCATTTTATCAAATATTTTTCTTATTTATTGCTTTTGAATTTGCGGCAAAATATGACCTGGTAGGGATGTAACGATTAACCGCGAACCGGTTGGAAATCTTTTCAAATATGTGACGATTCAAATCGGTTGCGATGCTAAACAAATCGCGATTCAATTAGGGGTAGGATTTTATATGAATGTATGTCTGAGGGGAACTTACT